CCATCGTATGTCTTCAGACAAAGTATAAGTTACTCAAGCAAGCCTTCATAACTGGTTTTACTTCTCTCTTGCTCTCTCCCTCCTCCTTTGCCTCCTGACTTTATCATCTTTCTCCCTTTACCACCCTTCTTCCAAAGCCCAAAGCAATAGATGGGTAAGAGAAGAAAGGACACTATTTCAAGTTTTTGGTTTCCCAATTTCAACCCCTAAAGCAATCCACTTATTATTACTAGTAAAATGAATGTTAACTTCTGCTTTGAAAATCACAATCACCATCTCTAACTGAAAATAATTTTTATTATCTTTTCTGACACTATTGTTTTATGCTCATAACTAAAATAATGGCTTCAATATTTTAGCCATTGTCTTGAATGATGTAATCCATTTCAGGAGGATTTAAAACCACCATGTAAATCTCTAATAGCCAAAAACTATAAAGTCTCATTAATTACAAAATCCTGGGGCTCTTAGCTACAAATTACGAGTTGAAAGGATATGGATTTTATTACTGTGTAACATTAAATCCTAAGTAAAACTGCCGCATAAGCTCATTCCCTACTTCATCTCGCCAAGAAGTGCAATACTGGATTCATTTCCATAAAACACAATGAAATTGCTATTCTGCAGAAGAAAAAAAAAAGTATATTACTCTGTAAGATTTTATATCAATGATATAAACTTTACAATATTTTGCTTGACCTTAAGGATGTTTTGTAAATTCTCCAAATTCCCTTTGAATTGTAAAAACCAAAAGGTAGGTAAGATTCCAATAAGACTGGACATAGGACAGAGTCAAGAGAATTAAGCCATAGTTATTATATGGTAAATTTCAATTTATTACCTTTGATATGCTTGTCTTATGGGGTATGATTCTCTATTTTTGGTATGTGTATCTACTTTGAACTCTAGATCTTTTTCTTCTATAATACAGAAAATCAGCTCTTTATTTTCTATCACAGCAGTTATTTTTTCTCCTCGGCTGACTGCTCTGCATGTGCCCATGTGTAGTTAATTTGTTTCTGACCACTTGTCCATTTATCAGAGTAATCTGAATAGTATTAACTTCATTTTTAGTTTCAGCAATTCCACTGAAGAAATCATTGGGCAACACAAGATCTCTTGATGATGCCTATACAAAATCATGAATTACCACTGATTTTAGTCCAAACTAGTACTGATGCAATGCTATAGCCTACTGTAAACCCTTCTAAGAAATTCAAGGCCTTGGGACGTTACCCTTTCAGACATGACGTGTCAAACTGTATTTGCTTTCTCTAGGACGGGAAAGAGGGAGACAGAGTAGACGCCAAGAAGTTTCCATTATGGCTTCTTTCTGGCCTTTGAGAGTTCTCCCAGAAAGGGTCACCATAAGCCACTATCATTCTAACACCTAAGGCTTGCTCTTTTGACCAAAATTGCTAGCAAATGGAAAGTAACAATTAGAACTGATGAGACTGGAAGAGAATAGGAGAGGGAAAGGAAAGCTATTAGAAGAGGAAGGGATCCTTTGGAAAGGTAGGAAAGAAGACCACCTTCACCCATCTGACTGTTTGCTCTAGCACCACATACGGCCATACCACCTGACCCTCAAAAATCACTGACCCCTGGCCAGACAACATTTTTCCAGCTAACTGCAGGTGCCTGGCTTATCTGATTAAACCACCACATTATGAGATCAAGGTCATATGCTTGATCCCTACGTTTGTCAATGGGCACAGTTTCATGGTCAAAAACTTGCCTTTTAACTCCAACCTCATAAATACCATCACTTACGTTAAAGACATTCACAAGAGAGGATATGAACCAATGATGCAAATCCATCACCATCACTGAAAAAATAACCAAGAAAACCTGACTTGTGAGTCAGCCCACAGAACAAATTCCATTTAAGAACTCCCTGATGATCCTGGGCTTCAAGGTTAGACACATAAGGGTAAGAAATCAGGCTTCACTACTTACTTGTTCTATGTGCGACCCTGGACAAGTTAATTTTTCGGAGCTTTTAACAATCAAACACATTAAGGGTCCCAAATAGAGCTTGACATATAAGGGTTACTCAGGTCATGCTAGCCCAGCCCCATCTGGAGATATAATCTGGCAGTCAAGAGCACAGGGATGAAGCCAGGTCCATTCCTGTGTCCCAATCCTGATTTTGCAGCTCACGTGAAACACTGGGCAAGTGATGGCCTTATCGTTCTCATAAAGCTGAGATAAAAAAATTAAAGCATTTAGACAGCACACAGCAATTGTCAACTAATGGCAATTATGTTTTAACTCTTAAGATAATATTATCACTATCTGTTAATGTTTTCCAAAGTACAGTTATGGAACTACTGATATCATAACGACCTGGGTGGGATGTCTACTGAGGGGGAAAAAAAGGATACCATGTCCCATCTCAACCTATTCAAAAATGGTACAGGGTAATGGTCATTTCTGAATCAAACTTCCTTGAGATGCCTATGAAAATTTCAGAATTATTGACCCAGCAGGTCTTGTGCTGTGTCATAGTAAATTAAGACTTGTTTTCCAATCCTTATTTTTTACTATGCCGGAATTGCCCCGTATCTGGGGTTCTTTTCTAATGAGGGACATTTCTGGACATAGATGTCAAACCGATAGGCTCATACTTTTTAGGCTCACTCCTGTTTTTTCCCCAGTGGTACTATTTTGACTTTTTTTTTTTCTTCTGATCAGGGGTCAGCAAGCTATGGCCTTGATATGCGGCTAATTTTGGACAATCCCAACCCTCACAAGGCTTTGTGTTGAAAAAAAAAAAAAAAGTAGTAATCAAGACCACATGTTGCCCAAAGCCTAAAACGTTTACTATCTGGCCCTTTGCAAGAAAAGCTTGCCAACCACTTTGTAGCCTATAATTAAATGTTTTTCAACTGCAGGTCTCAACACAATTTAAAATAGGGAGAAATAATCAATTCAAATAGTAAATATCAAAAAGCACTGCATCTGACAGAAGGTAGTACCTGTACTATTGCCAAAGTTTCAATCAGACACATGTATGTGCCTCCTGGATAATGATCAAATTGTATTTGGTTGCAGTCTAAAAGTTTTAAAGGCCTTGGAGGTGAGGCTGGGGAGTAAATAGTGCAATTGTTTACAAGTTTAACTTGTTTAACTCACATTGAGCAATTTTTACAGCAAAGGTGCCTTGGAGAATATAAAGTCATATAAAGCCCTGCTGTTTTGAAGTTAACGGCTTGTTTCTTCACTACAAAATGAAAATGGAATCTCTTCTGTGCACAATATATTGTTATAAGGAGAAAATGGAATCATCAATGCAAAGTACTTCAACAAATGCATTATACAAACAAAAGATTTTGATTATATTAACAACATATCATACAGAATACATATAAGGTCTTTACCAAGCCCCTGAGTTCCTAGTTTTCTCCAACCTGGGAAAAGAGTCCTTTTTTCCCCCTTTGTGTGTGTGCATGAACATGTGTGCATGCGTCAGGAGCATAAAAGAAGTATTAGATATCTCTTCCCTTTCTATCATCCGTTACTGGCTGCTGCTTCTTACCTATTTAAAACATGCATTCTTTTCTCTTTCTCTTGTTTCTAGAAGGAAAAGCGTTTGATTTGATTCTTGTGCAAAAAGAACTACTAAGACTATGATTATCCTCTTGAGGAAACATTTAAAAGTCCAAAATTAAAATTGTAAGTAACAAGCTTCACTTTTATCTTCATAGAGCACTAATTTCCAGGCTTTCTGGGATCGTTTTGGACAAACTAAAAATACATTAATTTTATAATCCATTTCAACATGTAATCGTGCAAAGAAAAGAAACATCTTCCTAGGAGCATACACAAGGAAATGAAATGACACTTCTAAATGTTTTCATTTTATGAAATACACTGCGGACACACAAACCACAAGCAGTGTAAATAAATAAAAGCTGGTGCAATGCTGCATGCATGTTTGCCTTATACCACAAAGAGAAAACACTTGCACATTGCACTCCATGGTATTTTAGCTTGGGTTGCCATAAAAATGGGATTTGCGTATGTTGTGTAATACAGGGGGCTGTAAATGAGGGTGTGTGTCTGGGTGTGTTAGGGAAAGAGGGTTGTAAGCAGAAGGGGTGGGACTTGCCAGGAGCAGCTATTTGAGAAAATTCCGTTTTCTTTCCCATTCATTCTTCTAGCTCAGTCTATTCTAGCTCAGTCTGGCACAGTCCTTACAATTACTCACTGGCTTTTCATTCTAAAGACAACCAACAAGCTTTCAGAACTTCCTACAGTGTTTTTCTCATACACTTAAAAAAAATAAAACAGCAAATCATTCAATATGTCTTTTATACAAAAAGCAAACCATTAACCCGTTTCCTCGTTCCAAAGACCCCCGTGGGTTTCAGACTAAATAGAATCCTTTGTTACGTGTTCAAAAATAACACAGCACGGCATTGGTAAATTGGAAAATAACAGATAACTCTTATTTCCAAGAATGTCGGAGCTATTGGCCATAAATTTTGTTCTGCCCCAGTGAGTCCAATTTCATGCTTCTTTTAGTGAATCTACCATCCTAACAACAACCTAAAGACAATCATATTAAACATCGTTCGCCTTTTCTCTTCTGACATTCGTTTAATAAATACAAAGGCTGAATGAAGACGCCAAGTGGGCCAGTTTCTTTATGCACAATGGTATCCTCCAAGCGAAATACCTCCAATCACAGCGAAAGTTGTCTTTCTAGCAGATGCCCACCCCAACCAGCCCAGGCAGAGGGGGCAGACGGGCAGAGGGAATCGTAACCTCCCAGCTCTCCCACCTCCAGAGGAAGGGAAGAGGGTATGACAGAGAGCGGAGTAGGAAGGTGGGCGAGTGGGAGAGACAGAAATGGATGCTGAGGGGGTGGGCGAGATAGGAAGGTAGGGAAAGGTGGAGAATGCGGGGAGAGGTGGGCGCGCAAAGCGGCAAGATCCGAGAGCCGTGGCAGCAAGGGGATCCTGGGGCGCGAGGGCGGGGGGTCTGGTCCTCACCATTGAACGCCCCTGCGTCTGCGGGCGCCGCCTCCTCCTCCTCTCCGTCCTCGGAGTCGGAGTGCATGGGTTCCTCGGCGAAGTTGACCCCCTTGCTGGGGGTGCCACCCCCGGCAGCGGCGGCAG